CAGGGGGATGGATGGTGGATGGATGGATGGATGGATGGATGGATGGATGGATGGATGGATGATGGATGGATGGATGATGGATGGATGGATGGGTGGATGGATGGATGGATGGATGGATGGATGGATGGATGATGGATGGATGGTGGATGGATGATGGATGGATGGATGATGGATGGATGGATGGATGGATGATGGATGGATGGATGATGGAAGGAAGGAAGGAAGGAAGGAAGGAAGGAAGGAAGGAAGGAAGGAAGGAAGGAAGGAAGGAGTGGTGCCTGCAGGAAGGAGCCCCCAGCCGTGTTCTGTCCCCAGCTCTGCAGCTGTGCATCCTGCAGCCCTCGCGGATCTCCCCGGAGGTGAGCACGGCGCTGGCTGGGGGAGGTGGGCACTGCCCGGGGCTGGGGCTGTGCCAGGGCCAGCTGAGGGCACAGCCCCCAGCCCACGCCACCCCCTCTGCAGAGCACCAAAGCCACCCCTGTGTCCACCCTGCTGCGAGACCCCTACATCCTGGTGGCTGCAGGTAAAGGTGGAGCTTTAAATTTGTTCCCCTTGTTAAAGATTTCCTCGTGCCTGCTTGAAACAGCAATAAAAAGGGGCTAAACCAGAACTTTTCTCCCTTTTCCAGGAGCCCTCTGCTTCTCCAACATGGGGGTGGCCATGCTGGAGCCCACGCTGCCCATCTGGATGCTGCAGACCATGTGCTCCCCGCAGTGGCAGCTCGGTGGGTCCCCTGCTCTGCAGCCTCTTCCCCTGAGCTCCAGAGAGCTCAGAACCCCAAAAAAACCCCCCAAGAGCCATTGGGTCCAGCCTGTGACTGATCCCAGCCCTGAGCACTGAGTGCCACGTCCTTGGACACTTCCAGGGACCAAGATCTGGCCCTGCCTGGGCACTGCAGGAGGGGTTGAATCATCTTTTGTATCTCTCCAACAAAAGAGAAGGAAACATCTGCCCTGCTGCCCGTGCAGCGAGCGATCCCAGGCTGGGCACGGCTCCAATTCCAGCTGGAAATGTCCTCGGTGGTAGCTGCTCTGCTCTGTTATTGAAAAAATTGTGTGGGATGTGCCGCCCAGCAGAGCAATAACGGGGCAGGGAGCCCATCTTGTGCAGGGCAGAGAATGGGCTCGTGCTGGGCTGGGACTGGGGAGGCCAGATGGGCTCTGCAGAGCGAGCTGAGGCCGAGCCCAGCACGCCAGGCAGGGCAGGACGGGCTCTGCTGATTGCCAGCTGCCCAGAAAATGGGATGTGGAGATAACAGCGCCTGTGCTCGCTGCAGAAACGACCAGAAATGGTGATAAAACCCAAGCGGAGCAGGAATCACCCCAGGGGTGCCCCGGGCTGCACTTAGATCCCAAATTGGATTGCAGGCTGCGAGCAGGGGGCTGGAATTGCTCCTGATTGAGTTATCCTCAGCGACAGCAAGCTCTGGAGAGAGGAAGGGAGGGGAAAGCGGCACCCAGGGATCCTGGCACTGGGAGAAGGGACACAACCCAGGGAAAAAGCACTCAGGGCTCCCCTGTCACCACGGGAAATCACAGGCACCTGAACATCCTGGGGAATGTATTTGGGATTTTCTCAAAGTCACCTCAAAGTGATTGAACAGAAGAAAATCCCAATATGTTCCCTAAGATGTTCAGGTACCTGAGATTTGAGAGCTGTTTGGATTCAGAGTTCAACACCACCCCTCTCACGAGCTGTTCAAAACTCAGGGGGTTCTTTATTGGGTCTCTTTCACCCATGATTCTGGGAAAAATAACCCAGAAGAGCTCGGGGTAAACCTGCAGGATTAACCAGGTTGTGTACTGTTAGAGGAGAGGAAATGAAACACAAATCAGCGTGCTCCAATAAGGAAGCTGTCCAGGGAAATGGAGCTGGTCACTTATTTATTGTCAGCAGGAGAGGATATGAAAAATAAACAACTGGTAAAGCAGCGGGGAGAGCAAATATTTAATTGTGAGCTACATAATGATCCCTGAGCTTTTTACTTAAGCGGCTTTATTCCTCTTTATTTAGTGAGGGAAAAGGTGGAAAGGTGGAAGAGGGAGAAACTCTGGCAGGAGATGTTCATGTGCCTGGCCTAGCTCATGATATTCTCCAAATGAGGCCATTGGGGACTGAAAATTTGTGCAATTCTCTGTTTTCTTGGGCACAAGACAATTTAAAATCCTTTCTGTCTCCCAGGGATGGCGTTCCTGCCTGCCAGCATCTCCTACCTCATTGGCACCAACCTCTTTGGGATTCTGGCCAACAGGATGGGCAGGTGAGTGGGATATTAAAGATTTGGGCTCAGCCCAGCCCAAATTTCAGCATGTTCTGCTGGAGCCTGAGAACTCCTGCCCTGTGCTCACATTGCAGGTGGCTGTGCTCCATGATTGGAATGGCTGTGGTGGGAATCAGCCTCCTCTGTGTGAGTAGCACGGGGGAATCCGAAGGAATCTCAGGTGGGATCCCCACAGGGGGATCTGAGGTGGGATCCCCACAGAGGGAATCTGAAGGAATCCGAGGTGGGATCCCCACAGGGGGATCTGAGGTGGGATCCCCACAGGGGGAATCTGAAGGAATCCGAGGTGGGATCCCCACAGCCCTGCCCCACAGGGGGAAACTGAGGTGGGATCCCCACAGGGGGAATCTGAAGGAATCCGAGGTGGGATCCCCACAGCCCTGCCCCACAGGGGGATCTGAGGTGGGATCCCCACAGAGGGAATCCAAAGGAATCCGAGGTGGGATCCCCACAGGGGGAAACTGAGGTGGGATCCCCACAGAGGGAATCTGAAGGAATCTGAGGTGGGATCCCACAGCCCTGCCCCACAGGGGGATCTGAGGTGGGATCCCCACAGCCCTGGCCCATAAGGGGATCTGAGGTGTCCCTGCAGGAGAATCTGCAGGGATTTTCACCGTCCTGCCACAGCAAATGCACAAGGCTCGCAGATCTCCAGATCTTCAGGCTAAGATTTGGGATTGTTCAGCCTGGGAAAGGCTGTGGGTGACCTGTGGCTGTCCAGGACCTGAAGGGAGCCTGGATTCACAAGGGATGGAGGGACACGATGAGGGGAAATGGCTTCAAAGTGACACAGGGTAGGGTTAGGTGGGATATTGGGAAGAAATTCCTCCCTGTGAGGGGGGCAAGGGGCTGGGATGGTGTTAGAGTTCTAAATACTAAAAATTTTAAACTCTCTATACTAACAAATTCTAACTCCCAAGAGAACAGTACATTTAACCTAAAGCCATAAAAAACCCTTCCAAAATTCAGTAATAACACTAAAATTACACATGTGTAGTTAAATAGAAGCGTGTAATATCCCAGAGGAGCTGTGGCTGCCCCTGGATCCCTGGCAGTGCCCAAGGCCAGCCTGGAACACCCTGGGAGAGTGGAAAGTGTCCCTGCCCACGGCAGGGCTGGGACAGAAAGATCTTTAAGCTCCCATCCCACAATTCCATGGCCTGTGTCCCACCTCCCACAGCTCTCCTGACCTCACACCTCCTCTCTCTCCTCCCCAGGTCCCTCTGGCCACCAACATTTACGGGCTGATCGGCCCCAACGCCGGCCTGGGCTTTGCCATAGGTAAGCCGGGGGTGCTGCGGTTGCTCCGGGGCAGTTCCCCCGGGACAGGGGGACTGAGGAGCCCCTCACGCCCCGGGCAGGAATGGTGGACTCCTCCATGATGCCCATCATGGCCTACCTGGTGGACCTGCGCCACACCTCAGCCTACGGCACCGTCTACGCCATCGCCGACGTGGCCTTCTGCACGGGCTTTGCCATCGGTAGGGGAGCTTTACTCACAGTGGAGGTGCACCTCCGTGGAGTTTTGTCACTTTTTTTGGACTGAAATTTGCAGGTCCCTCCACGGGCGGGGCGATCGTGCGAGCCCTGGGCTTCCCCTGGCTGATGGTGATGGTGGGCGTGCTGAACGTGGCCTACGCCCCGCTCTGCTGGCTCCTGCGCAGCCCCCCGGCCGCGGAGGAGAAGATGGTCAGTCAGGGGGGTTCTCCTGGGGTTCCACATCCCAGGGATCCGAGGGAATTAGGAATAAATTCGCCAGGGGTTGCGTGTTCCCTGTAGGCCTCTATGCTGCCCTCAAAAATGGACAAAAAAAAACTGAGATAAGAGCAGGGAGGTTTAGAGGGTCCTTCCCTGCACTCACAGCTTGTGTTCCCTGGGGGAAAGTCTGCTTTGGCTTTTTCCCAGCGTGGTAACGCTCCTGTTAACTGATCAAATTAATCATTACTTTTATTAAAACACGATTTCTGCTCTGCTTCACCCAGGCCATCCTGAGCCAGGAGTGCGCCATGAAACCCAAAAGCTACAGCACGAAGGGAGCCCAGCGGGGATTGCCCCTCATGGAGAAGAGCGATGGGGAGGCGGAAAACATGGAATAGCCAAGGAACGTGTGTCCTGCTTTGGAATTGTAATTATGGCGACAGAACACGGATGTGAGGGCAGCCACTGCCGGCTTAGCCTGCCCCAGACCCGTCAGTCTCCAACCTCTGCTCCAGGATTTGGAGGCTCCATCCATTCCGTGAAGCCGCTGTGGGACTCAACCATGGAATCAGCTGGCACTAAAGATGTCACTCGATGTCTGAGGACGCTAAAAAACCTTCGTTTGTTTGTGGTGTAATCTGATGTATTGTGCTATGTCTGTGCTGCTCGTGTGTCCTTCCCAACATGCATTAAATTAATTTACTCGTTTGAAGAGCTCTGAAGGAACTGAGGTGGGAATAAGGTTTAGACTCAGCCAACAAAGCCAGGTAGATCACTGTATTTAACGTGGCTTTGTCAGCTGCAGCTGACAAAGCTCTGAGGGAAGAGCTTAGCAGAGAAACTGCATTTTCTCCCACGGCTCCAGAGTGCAGATTTAACCCGCCCCAAACACATCGCTCGGGGCCCCTCAGCGCCTGTTTGAGCAAGGGGCTGTGTGATCTCCGCCCTGAGGGGGCGCGGCCGCCATGACAGCGCGGCCCGCCCTCCTTCCCGCCCTTTTCCCTTCCCTCAGGGCCGCCGATCTCGCGAGACTTCGCGCGCCCCGCCCCTTCCTGTAATGGCGGCGCCCTAGACCGCGCGGCCGGCGCTCCCATTACGGTCAGTCCGCGCTGTCACCGCCACCGCCGCCACCTCCACCGCCGTCTGTGTCACCGCCGCCACCTCTGCCACCGCCACCATGCATTCGGACGATGTGAGTCCGACCGTTCGTTCGGCCCCGTGTCAAGCGCCCGCCCCGCCGCCGGGCCCGGCCGTGTCCCCGCCGCACGTGGCCGCGGTCCCCTGTCTGTCCCCAGCGCCGCTGTGGCTCCGGGGGGACAGGGGCACCGGGGGTGTGAGTGGGGACTTGGCAGCAGCACGCGTGCTGTGCCTGCTCTTCTTGGGGCGCCGCGCTCTCCCTGCCGGGGGACACCGAGAGAACCCCGATGTTTGTGGGGTCAGAGCCGCGCGGGGACGAGCGGGTGGGGGGTGTCGCGGTGTGTCACCCGCTGTGTGTGCCCCCCGCAGGTTGTCTGGAGCATGCTGGGGAACAGGCAGTTCTGCTCCTACAAGATGACGTGAGTTTGGGGGACGGGGTGGGCTGAGCCCGGGGGGGCTTTGGGGGGATCCAGCAGGGACAGGAACGGGAGGGACGTGCTCGGGTACCCCCTAAAGTGTCCCCTCAGCGCCACCACGGCCACATGTGACAGTCACAGAGGATGGGGTGAGCTGTGGGAGCGGTGGGGTCTTCCTGCCCTCCCCTCATGAGTTCCCTGCCCTTTTTTTGCAGCACCAAAACGCAGAATTTCTGCAGGAACGAGTACAACCTGACGGGGCTGTGCAACCGCTCCTCCTGCCCGCTGGCCAACAGCCAGTACGCCACTGTCCGGGAGGAGAAAGGTGGGAGCAGGGATCCTGCATGGAGGGGGGATCAGCCCTTGGAAGGGGCCCCCAGGGGGGTTTGGAGCCCCCATCCCTGGAGGTGCCATGGGAATGCCTGGACGTGGCACTGGGGATCAGAGGTTGGATTTGATCTGGGGAGTCTTTTCCAGCCTGGATGGTTGTGGGATGCAGTGGGCGGGGGAGGGTGGGTGGCAGTGCCTGGGGGCAGCCTGGCTCTGGGGAGGGGCTCAGGGGTTTGTTGCCTGTTCCCAGGTCGCTGTTATCTCTACATGAAGACCATCGAGCGGGCGGCGTTTCCCCGGCGCCTCTGGGAGCGGGTGAGCTCGGGGACACGGCAGGGACAGCCGCCCTGCTGTCCCCTCAGAGGGCAGGGAGGCTGTTCCAGGGGAGGGACACGGCGGGCAGCAGCAGGAATTTCTCCGTGGAGAGGGTGCTCAGGCATGGAACTGCCCAGGGAGGTTTGGAATTCCCATCCTGGAGGTGGCACTGAGTGCTCGGGGCTGGGGACGAGGTGGGGATCCCCCTTGGAGGGCTTTTCCTAAATGGTTCCGTGACTCTGGGGGCGATGCAGCCCCTCCCAGACGTCCCTGTTTTGTCCTGCTCTGTCACCCAGCCCTTCCCCTGTCCCCGCAGGTGCTGCTGAGCAAGAACTACGAGAAGGCTCTGGAGGAGATCGACGAGAACCTCATCTACTGGCCCCGCTTCATCCGGCACAAGTGCAAGCAGAGGTTCACCAAGATCACGCAGTACCTGATCCGCATCCGCAAGCTGACCCTCAAGAGACAGTAAGGGACACGGGAGTGACCCTGGGAGTGACCTCTGGTGGCTTCTGCAGCCATTGCCCCTCTCCTGAGCCGCTGGCTGCTGGGACATGGAGCTGGTCCCCGTTTTCCTGATCTGTTTAGATGGATCTGACACGGGTGAGGTGCAGGAATGCAGCGTGTAAATGCCCTGAGGGAATGTTCTGAGTGGAGGGACCCACAGGGATCACTGATCCCAGATCATTGATCCCCCAGTGATCACTGATCCCAACTCAGTGATCATTGATCCCAACTTAGTGATCACTGATCCCACAGGGATCACTGATCCCAGCTCAGTGATCATTGATCCCAACTCAGTGATCACTGATCCCACAGGGATCACTGATCCCAACTCAGTGATCATTGATCCCAACTCGTTGGTCACTGATCCCACAGGGATCACTGATCCCAACTCAGTGATTGCAGATCCCACAGGGATCATTGATCCCAACTCAGTGATCACTGATCCCACAGGGATCACTGATCCCAACTCAGTGATCATTGATCCCAACTCGTTGGTCACTGATCCCACAGGGATCACTGATCCCAGATCATTGATCCCGGTCACTGATCCCACAGGGATCACTGATTCATTGATCCCAACTCATTGGTCACTGATCCCACAGGGATCACTGATCCCAACTCAGTGATTGCAGATCCCACAGGGATCATTGATCATTGATCCCAATTCCTGGCCCTGCACTGACACCCCAACAACCCCCCCTGTGCATCCCTGGGAGCAGTGTCCATCTTGGAGCTCTGGCAGCCTCGGAGCCGTGCCCAGCACCCTCTGGGGGAAGAATCCTCCCCTAAAATCCAACCTGGCCCTGCCCTGCCACAGCTCCAGCCATTCCCTGTCACAGAGAGCCGGGATCAGAGCCGTCCCTCGGGAGGAGCTGCTCCTCCTGTGGCTCCTCCAGACCCTTCCCCATCCTTTGGACACGCTCTACCAGCTTTAGATCTTTCTCATCCTGAGGCACCCACACCTCAGGAGGTTCCCCACGTTTGGAATGCTGCAGCTGCTGGCTGTTGCTGCCTGCCAGGGGCTGTGACATTCCCAGTGCCCGTTCCCTGCAGGAGGAAGCTCGTCCCGCTGCGCAGGAAGATCGAGAGGCGCGAGAACAGGCGGGAGGTAAGGAGTGCCCCGTGTCACCTCGTGCCACCTCGTGCCACTGCTGCACACCCTGCTGCCCCTGGGCCTCACACAGCTGCTCTGTGTTCCCTAGGAGAAAGCCCTGATTGCTGCCCAGCTGGACAACGCCATCGAGAAGGAGCTGCTGGAAAGGCTGAAGCAGGACACGGTGAGGGTCACACGGAGCTCACAGCGTCAGCTGCCCTGGGGAATGGGGGTGCCTGGCTCCCCAAAACACAGGGAGCCCCCAAAGAAAGGGCTGCCCTCCTGCTCTGTGCACAGGGAGCCCCAAAACATGAGGGCTGCCCTCCTGCTCTGTGCACAGGGAGCCCCAAAACATGAGGGCTGCCCTCCTGTGCACAGGGAGCCCCAAAACATGAGGGCTGCCCTCCTGTGCACAGGGAGCCCCAAAACACGAGGGCTGCCCTCCTGTTTGAGCCCCAAAACAAGAGGGCTCCTCTCCTGCAGGAGTGTGGGCTCAGAGGTGGGAAGGGGCTGATCCAAACCTCAGGCTGATGCTGCCCCATGCTGTGACCCCCCATCCCAAAGTCCATCTCCTTCCTGTGGCTTATGGAGAATCCCATTTTTCCTTTCAGTATGGAGACATTTACAACTTCCCCATCCACGCCTTTGACAAGGCTCTCCAGCAGCAAGATGCAGAGAGCGAGAGTGAGTCGGATGCAGAGAGGGAAGAAGATGATGATGATGAGGTAAAGCTTCCAGCCCTGCCCTGGGGCTGAGCTGGGCTGAGAAGAACTCGGGACAGCTCAGAAAAACCTTGTGGTGGCCTTGGTGGCTCTTGGTGCCACTGCTGTGCTCAGTCCCTGCCTCTGTTCCTTGCAGGACGTGGATAAAAGGGAGTTTGTGGAAGCAGAGGACAGCGAGCTCAGCGACTTTGAGGTGGGTGAAGCACCAGGTACAAACTGAGGCCGAGCTGCACGGGCACCTCCACCCTTGGGTGTCTCTGGGGACGGGTAAGAGGCAGCAAAATCAGCTGTGGGAGAGAACTGGACAGTGGGAGCCCAGCCCAGCTCCTCTGGAGCCAGCGATTGTGCAGTGGGATCGTAATGAGGTGATTTTGGGGAAAGAGGAGGTTTAGTTGCACAACCTGCTCTGACATCACTCTGCTCACTCAATTCTTCCTCAGGACATGGATAAGTTGGAGACAAGCAGTGAAGAGGAGCAGGAAAAGGAGGAAGAAGTAGAGCAGAAAGCCTCCCACTCCAAATCTAAAGGGAAAACACCCCTGAAGGGCCCAGCCAGGAGAAAACGTCCCTACATCGAGATAGAGTACGAAGAGGAAACTGAGCCCAGCACCAAGACAAAAGCAGCCTGAGCCCTCCTGACCCTTTTGTACTGACTGACAGAACTCCAGATGTGTCACCAGAGTGGGACTCCAGCATCTGTCACCCACCTCCCACCCCTCACAGGACCCTCAGAACTCCTGGTTTGATACTCCATACATTTTCTGGGGTTTGTGTCCCGAGCCCAGGCAATTGCAGTGAGTTTGTACATCTGGGTGAAGCCCAGCTCAAAGGAACATCTCCCACCTCCTCTGCAACCTCAAAAAGCTGAGCCCAGCCTCTGCTCCAGGAAGGGCCCTGGCCTGGGGGGCTCTGCTGCTCCCTGTAAGGCTGGAGAAACCTCAGCTGTGTTTGGGGAGGTGTAGGGCTCACAGGTGGGACAGGAACGACAGAACTTTCAATAAATACAACACTTTTATTGTACAAAAGGGGGTGAGCAGTGTCAGGTGCTCTCCTGCACCTTCCTGAGGCACTCCCGCACCCGGTTCTCCTCACAGCTGCTGTGCACCCCTGCCAGCAGCACCTGCAGGGGCAGAGCAGCATTGCCAGTGCCCTGGCACTCTGATGGTGTCACCCACCCTCCCCAGCCCTGGGGGGAGCACAGCACACCCTGAGCCCATCAACAGCCACCGAGCCACTTTCAGTGCTGCTGGGGAGGGGGGAACCCAAACTCCTGCTGGGGTGAGAGGGAAGAGGGCTCTGGCACCCCCAGGGAGCCCTGGCACCTCCAGGGAGCCCTGGCTCACCTTCACCTGGCCCTGGCACCCCCAGGGAGCCCTGGCAGCCCCAGGGAGCCCTGACTCACCTTCACCTGGCCCTGGCAGCAGCGATCCAGCAGGATGAGGCACTGGGTGGCCCTGTGCAGCAGGGCAGCCCTGACGGGCTCGGGGGTCGGGCCCTGCTCCGTGTGAACGTCCCAGAGCAGCCTCAGCAGGGCCTTGAGGAGCACGGGGAGCCTGCAGGGCATCCTGCAAGGGAAACAGCTCATCCCAAACCCTTCCCCAGCTAGGGACGGCACAGCCTGGGGCTGCTGTGGGGCAGGATTGCTGCCAGGACAGCCCTGGACAGGCAGGAACCTCGGGATGGTGGTGGGGATGCTGGCACTGCACAGCCCAGTCCACAGCACAGGGTTTACTCCACGTTGGTTTAATTTCTGTTTTTGGAATAGCACAAGTTGGGTCAAAATGAGGACCCAGCTTAATTTTGGAGCCAGGTTTTTCAGTAATGCCAGTGAGTACTTCCTGGGACATTTTCCCCTTAGGATTTCAGGGCCTTTTCCTCAAGAAAAAGTAACTTTGGGTCTTAAAGCAGAAACATCCAGGATAGGAATGAAACATTCACATCAGGAGGGGTTTCCAGGACAGCTTTTCTGTGTGTAATCCCCCCACAGAGGTACCTGGGCCAGGCATGCTCTATGGTGCACTGCAGGGTCTCCAGGATTCCCAGTCTGGCCTCTTCCCCGGGGCCATCAGAGACCTCCAGGTAGCCCAGGATGACTCGCTCCAGCCTCTTCAGGTGCCTCACGATGAGGATGCCAAGTCTGGTGGCACAAACACACCCTCAGCAGGGAGAATAGATCCCCTGGATCCCAAAAACACACCCTGAGCAGGGAGGATGCCCTTGGATCCCAAAAACACAGCCTGAGGAGGGAGGATAGATCCTTTGGATCCCAAAAACACAGCCTGAGGAGGGAGGATAGATCCTTTGGATCCCAAAAACACACCCTGAAGAAGGAACATACCCTGTTATCAAGCCCAGGGCCCATCCCTGGATATCATGCCCAGGTGCAGCTCCCACCCCTTCAGAAAGGTGGGCAGGACCCCCAGTGCAGCTCTTCACCCCTCCAGGAAGGTGGGCAGGGCCCTCAGGTGCCGCTGTCCCCTCTGCCTCACCTGGTGACGAAGGCAGGCAGGGTCCCTGCGTAGACCCTGCGCAGTGCCAGCCGGTGCTCGGCCTCCATGTGGGTCAGCACCAGCTGCAGCACCTGGTCCCAGGGGGAGGTGGCTCTGCCGTGGCCCTGGCGCCGCTGGCATCGCTCCAGGATGGGCAGCAGGTCCAGCAGGCACAGCAGCACTGCCTGGTGTGGGGACAGATGGGGAACGTGAGCTCGTGCTCTCTCCAAAAAACAACAAACCCCAACCCTGTGGCCACCCGCTGAGCTGAGTGCTTCAGAGCTGCTCCCTGCCCGCCTGGAATGGGGCAGGAGGAAAGAGCTCTTCCCTCTGTGGTGTTTTCCTGGAATCCACGGAGTAACTTTGTCCCCAGGCTGGTGACAGCCTGGCTGCACTGTGACAGGGAACAGGCTCAGCCTCCTGCCTTAACCTGAGGGGCTGCCACCACCCCAAGGCACCCCAAAACTCAGGGCAGCCGTCCTACCTGGATGAGAGGGGCCTCCCGTGAGTACAGGTGGTTGTAGAGGGCGTGGAACACCACCTGGGCCCTGTTGAACTGGCACAGATCCGCCCCTGGCTGCAACAGCACAGAGCAGGACATTACTCCTGGGCAGCACAGGAACCTAAACCCTGTGTGAAGTGTGAAGAACTGCTGCAAATGCAGGTTAAATCCTGCCAGTGCCTTCCCAAAGCTGGGGAGTGGGAGGAACTGCTGGAAATACAGGTTAAACCCTGCCAGGGCCTTCCCACAGCCTGGGGAGTGTGAGGAACTGCTGCAAATGCAGGTTAAATCCTGCCAGTGCCTTCCCAAAGCTGGGGAGTGGGAGGAACTGCTGGAAATACAGGTTAAACCCTGCCAGGGCCTTCCCACAGCCTGGGGAGTGTGAGGAACTGCTGCAAATGCAGGTTAAATCCTGCCAGTGCCTTCCCAAAGCTGGGGAGTGGGAGGAACTGCTGGAAATACAGGTTAAACCCTGCCAGGGCCTTCCCACAGCCTGGGGAGTGTGAGGAACTGCTGCAAATGCAGGTTAAATCCTGCCAGTGCCTTCCCAAAGCTGGGGAGTGGGAGGAACTGCTGGAAATACAGGTTAAACCCTGCCAGGGCCTTCCCACAGCCTGGGGAGTGTGAGGAACTGCTGCAAATGCAGGTTAAATCCTGCCAGTGCCTTCCCAAAGCTGGGGAGTGGGAGGAACTGCTGGAAATGCAGGTTAAACCCTGCCATTCACCAGCAAGAGAAGTTAGGAATCTGACCCACATGAGGGAATGGCTGGAGCTGTGTCAGGACAGATCAGGCTGCATTTTAGGGACAGGTTCCTTCCCCAGAGGGTGCTGGGCACTGCCCAAGCTGCCCAGGGAACAGACACAGCCCCGAGGCTGCCAGAGCTCCAGGAAACACTCATGGATGATTGCTGGGGTGTCTGTGCAGGGCCAAGGCTGGGACTCGGATCCCTGTGGGTCCCTCCCAGCTCAGGACATTCTGTGCTTGCCCCTCCCTTCACCCAGCAGCCCAGAGGCTCCACGCCCTCCCTCGGTCCCTCACCACGTTGAGGACGATGTGGTGCAGGCAGCGCACGCCCAGCACTTTGTTCTCCTCCTGGAAGTCGTCGGAGAGGAGCAGCGCGGGCGGCAGGACCCGCTCCAGGTGCGGGCACAGCCAGGGCCGGCTGACACGGAGCAGAGCCCAGGAGAACACGTCTTTGGAGGCAGGATTACGCTTCCAGGTGTCTCTGGAGAGACAGGCACAGCTCAGGGAACACACAGTACTCATTTACCCTCCACTTGAGGCTCTCGGCTGGCAGCAAACCCTGACAATCATCCCCCAACACCTTCCATTTGTAAACCTCCTGGTTTCATACTTATCATGTCTTGAGCCTCAGAAATTTCCCAGTATTGCCTACAGAGACCCTCCAACCACACCACACTCCCTCCCCACTCACTTGGTTAACTCCTGCTTCAGCAGCCCCATCACTGCTCCGAATCTTCCTTCCTCATCCCCCTCCTTTCCCCGCAGGAATTCCTCCACGGACCCGCAGTCCGCAGCCCGGACCAGCCGCTCCAGCAGCTCCTGAGCCACCGCCCGACTCCTCGCCGTGGTCCAGGGCCTCTCGTCTTTGTGCGTGACAGCAAAGATGAACGCGTGTCCCAGCACCTTGCGCGGGACGGGCCCCGCCGGTGGCTGCTGGCTCCGGGCATCTTCCAGCTTCTGCAGGAGCAGCAGGAACACGGCGCCAACGCGCTCTGCCCGCTCCGCCACGGCCTCCAGCTTCGCGTCCCGGCCGGGCGGCTCGGCCCCGTCCTGCTCCCGGCGCGGCGGAGCCGCCAGCTCGCCCAGGGCCGCCGCCAGCTGGCCCAGCGCCTGATCCGCGCTCGGGCCGCTGCTGCCACCGGCCATGGCCCCGCGCCGGCCCGAAACCCCGCTACGAACACACACACATCGCTGCGGCAGCGGCGTCCGGCGGGAGCGGGGACCCCGGGACACCCCCGGGATTCCTCAGGGACCCCTGGGACACGGCAGAGACCCCCGAGCACCCCGGGATCCCCTCAGAGACCCCTGAACACTTCGGGATCCCCTCACAGACCCCCGAGCACCCCGGGATCCCCTCAGAGGAGACCCCCAGGACCCCTCAGAGACCCCCGAACACCCCGGGATCCCTTCACAGACCCCCGGGATCCCCCCACAGACCCCCAGGATCCCTCACAGACCTCCGGGATCCCTCAAAGATCCCTGAGCACCCCCGGTCCCGTCACCGCGGCGCCGCCGCCACCCGCACCACGCGCGTAAACTGTCGCAAAACCGCCCGGTTGCCGTAAAGCCGACGGCGGAGCGGGCGTGGTTTCGTGTGCATAAATTAGCATTGCTAATTAAGAACGGCGGAGCGGAATAGGACCGGCTGTACGGGGCGGGAGAGAACGGAAAATGGCAACAGAAGGGTCAGGAAGAACGGCTGAGAGAGGATAAAACAAAAACCGGGGAGAGCTGAGTGGGCCAGTGTGTCGCCATGACTTCCAGAGCGGTGGCGCGGCGGTAGGGGCGGGCGCGGCCGCCATTGCGGCGATCCTTCCGGTTCTTGGAAATGATGAATGGGCGCGGCACGCGGCTGCGTGACGTGTGCACCCTGCTGTTACGACGTTGCACAGTCCCATCTGACCGCCGGGGGGTCCTGACGTCGCCATGACGTCATTTTAAGGTCTGCATGTCAATAGAAGAGAAAGCTTAGGACTGCTGTGGGTGACGTCATTGCTGATGTCATCCCTGGGAGCGGGCCGCAACTAGCGAAATTCGATAACTAGGAGGATGTTGTGGGGTGTATGATGTCACTGCTGACGTCATCCCCATGGCGTGTGAGTGCCTGTGATCAGCTCTGTGATGTCACCGCCACATCATCTCCTTCCCGTGTCGATAATCGGCGGAAATGAGCGAATTAAAGAGTGTGCACAGTCCCTGGGCTGTCTGCGACGTCACTGCTGATGTCACGTTCTCTCGGATGTGTCAAAAATCACCGGGAATGGGCGAATCCGGGGGGGCTCAC